GGGAGGATCTGAGGACGCCGAAGGCGGCAATGTGAAACGACGCAATCCACTGATTTGAAAACGCTGAAAAGTACAGCTACACATTCAACACAGAAGATCGTTGGTTTATGATTGTGATTGCTGGGACCTTCGGACGCTACAAACATACACATATATGTCGATATATGTATATATGAATATGCATACCTATACATTTTTATGTATGCGTATACATAGTATACACCTGGCTGAATACTTAGTATATATAGTATACCTGTACACTTATTCGTATACATATACATCGTATATGTATACATATGTATACGTATACATATGTATGTGCATATATATATATACACATTATCATATACATACATATACATATACACCTAGTTGAACACTTGAAAACGCCAATGCCATGCTGATGACGAGTACGTGGCATATAAACCATATCTACTTCCGAGCGGGATACGATCGATGATTAACCGCATGCCGCAGATAATAAAGTACACCCCCTTAAGTCTTTTGAGTTGATTATCGTCGGCCTAGAAGGGTTTCAAATGTAGGCGGAGAGCGCGGAGGCCGAACTTCGTTCGCCGAACGTCTGACGGATGTCTGAAGCGAAACAACCATTTCTGCAAGGACGTCTCAAGCGAAACAAGCAGTGTTTAAGGAATCCTGTCCTGCTCCCCCTCCTCCTGCTCCTCCTTTCTCCTCCCCCTCCTCCTCCCTCTGTTCCTGCTCCTTCCCCTCCTCCTCTTCCTCCTGCTCCTCTCCCTTCTCTCCTCTTCCTGCTCTTCCTCCTCCTCCTCCTCTTCCTCTTCCTCTTCTTCTTTCTCTCTGTCTCTTTCTCCTCCTCCCCCTGGCGCCCTAAACTTGTTTACCGCTGTGGTTGATTATCCGGGGAAAACGAGGCACGTGAGCTTACCTACACGAGCATGTGAAAATGCTAGTTTCCATTAAGCGCTTACAAATAAAATCTAATAGGTTTTGAACTTTTGATTCTTATTTAATCCTTTTTCATCTTCCTCTCCTCTCTCTCTCTCTCTCTCTCTCTTTGTCGCTGTCTCGCTCTGTCTCTCTCTCTCTCTCTCTCTGTCTCTCTCTTTGTCTTTCTCTTTCTTCATATCTCTCAGCCTTTCTCATTCTCTCCGTGCCCCCGCTGAGCTTGTTTATCGCTGTGGTTGATTATCCTGGTACCCTACACGAGCAGATGAAAATTCAAATTTCCATTAAGCGCTTACAAATAAAATATAATAAGTTTTGAACTTTGGATTTGTCTTTCCTCCTTCTCATCTTCCTCTCCTCTCTTTTCTCTTTCTTTTTGTCTGTGTCTCTCTTTGTGTGTCTCTCGCTCTCTCTCTGTCTCTTTCTCTTTAGTTTTCTGTCTTTCTCTCTCTCTCTCTCTCTCTCAGCATTTCTCCTTCTCCCCGCGCCCCCCTGAACTTGTTTATCGCTGTGGTTGATTATCCTGGGAAAACGAGGCACATGAGCTACCCTACACGAGCACGAAACGAGAGATTTGTCGAGGATATCTCAAGCGAGACAAACCGTTGTTGATGATGTTTCAGAGAGGACCAAACGCCAAGGATGTCTCAAGATATCCTCGGCTTTCGCTCCTCTTGATAATCTCGTTATGCTGGCCTCTGGTGGGCAACTTTTATTATCCCCCCGTGACCCCGAACTTTATTATCCCTGTGTGTTTATTATCTGCGGCATGGGGTTAAGAGCGTGGGCGTCGAGGGTTCGGGATATAAGTGTTGGTTGACATGCGAGCAGATAAAAGCGAGCAGTTGTACAATGTTTGCTGTTGTTGCTGTTGAGCTCGCATTTCTAAAGAATATGTATTGTTGATCGCCCCTCGGTTGCCCGTTGTTTTTCAATTCGCGTGCACCTTCTGAGTGTCGCACCCTGTTTGTTCAAGGGAAAGACTTGGGCCTCAGACTGTGTCTTTGGGCAACAGCGGTTCCCGCTTGATACTTCCAGACAGCTTATTCAGAATAGCGCTTTCGCGCAGAATTGGTTCGCAATCGTTGCAGGAATCGCGCTCTCGCGAGAGATCTCCTCGCGCTGTCTTTAGACTCCGCGCCCTCGACGGCCAGGAATCACGCTTTCGCGCTGGATTTCCCCACGATTTACTTGGGAATCGCGCCATCTCTCGAGACGCCCTCGCGAGTCATGCATCGGCGGCGAGCGAGGGGGGGAAATGAGAAGGAGAAGGCCCTCTCAGAAGGCGTCGGGACTTCTCAGAAAGCCCTCGGGCCTTCTGAGAAGTTGTTTTCCGTCTTCGGGCAAGGCTTAGAACACTTCTCAGAAGGCCCGGGGACTTCCGAGCCTTCTGAGAAGGCCCGCCCCTTCTCACTTCCCCCCCTCACCCGCCGCCTGATGCAGGACTTCCCCCCCTCACCCGCCACCCGACCCGCCCGCCTGGTTTTGCCGCTCGTACTCTTGCTTCTCACCCGGAGGAGGAAGAGGAGGAGGAGGAGGAGGAGGAGGGGGAGGAGGAGGAGGAGGAGGAGGAGGAGGAGGAGGAGGGAGACGCCTTCGCGAGCCGTGCAGGACTGACGTGACGCTTCCGCTCGACCCGCCCGCTCGAACCCGGCCCTCTGGGCGCGCCTGCCCGACCCGCCCGGTTGACGTCCGCCCACCCGGCCCCGCCCGCCTGGTCTTGCTGCTCGTGCTCTTGCTCCTCGCCCGGAGGAGGAGGAGGAGGAGGAGGAAGAGGAGGAGGAGGCGGAGAAGGAGGAGGAGGAGGAGGAGGAGGAGGAGGAGGAGAGGAGGAGGGAGGAGGAGGAGAGAGGAGGAGGAGGAGGGAAGGAGGGGGGAGGAGGAGGAGGAGGAGGAGGAGGAGGAGGATAGGGGAAAAAAAGTGGCATAAAACAAAATGCTCGGAGTCCGCGGATTTCTCGGATCGGCGCTGGGGCCCCCCGGCGGCGCCTCCGGCGCCGCCCCTGGCGCGCTCCGCGCGCCAGGGAGGGGGGTCCAGCGCCGATCCGAGAAATCCGCGCGGACCTCCGATTTTTTATATTTATGCAATTTGTTGATCCCCTAGAGGAGGAGGAGGGAGGAATGGGAGGGAGGGAGGAGGAGTCCCTCTTGCTAATCCCTCTCGTGTTCCGTCCTTTTTTCTGTGCCCCTTGTCCCTTCGCTCTTGCCTCACTTCCCCCTGCTTTTAGGGGCTGCGCCAACTACGCGTGGCGGGTAAGGTAGATATACCACCAAGGGAGGTGCGATCGAGGATGAAGAGGGCGTGCATCGAGGTTCCTGGATAGATTCGGGCCGGACGAAAGGGGGAGATTGGGAAAGGGGGGGTACGAAATCTGCTGCAGGCAGCTGGATTCGGCCTCACCGAGGGGCCCATTCCTCGATGCACGGCCGCCTGCGGCGACGGGAGGCGCCGGACAAGTCAGCTGCGTGAGCTGGTTCTCAACCCCCCCCCCCTCTGCTATCCCCCCCCGTCGCCCGACCCGGTGGATGCACGTGTTGAGTGACGCGCGAGCAGATAAGAGCGAGCAGTATTGGAGCGGTGGTTGTGGCTGTTGCTGTAGGCTGCGGGGGCAACAGCCCAGCTCGAGGCTCCAGACCTCCCCTGACGAGAGGCAGGGCGCGGGCCCCCGGGCGGGGGGGGGGCCCACTCCGGTCGAGGAGCGGCATGGGCATCGGGGCCTTGGCATCGCTCGGGCGTGTGCGTGTTCCCTTCGGCGAGGACCTGCGAGGAGCATCCTTTCGATCGTCTGGCGAAAGAAGCACGCACGAAACAACCTTGATCATTCGGCGAGAAAAGAAGGCACGAAACGGGAAGAGGCACAGGGGAGTGAACGTCCGAGCGATGCCCAGAGTTGGGAGGCGGCCAGGGCACCGGGGCAGGCGGGATCATGACATGCTCTGCAGCAGTGCGGGCCCAGGACGTCTCTCGATGCGACGTCGGCCCGCCGGATGTCTGCGGCAGGAGGGCGCGCGGGCCCCGCGACCCGCGCAGCCCCAGAGGACCGGGGTCGTCGACAAGGGCGACCTGGACCTGTCCAAGGACGCGGGCGGGCGCCACGAGCGCAGGGGAGCGGCGGCGACGAGAGCGAAGGCGATATGCAAGCGGAGGCGGCGAGACTGAAGACGATCACGACGACGACGACGAGGACGAGGACGAGGACGAGGACGAGGAAGACAGAGGAGCACGTTCACGTTTTTCTCTGGCCGGGCGTGTCCCGAGGGCTCTCACGGTCGGCTTCCCGGTGGCGCCTTCGCTGCAGGTGCGCTTGGGTGGCTCGCCCTGGCCGCGCGCCCCCCGTGGGCCTCCCGCGCGTGCCTGCCAGCCCGCTTGCGCACCTGGAGCCAGAAGTAGCGACATCGAAAACAAACCATATAATAGAGTTAGGGGGCCACATGCGAACCCTACCCCTACCCCCCACGATTTCTGAGGGGGAGGGGTAGGGGTAGGGGTAGGGTTCGCATGTGGCCCCCTATAGAAGTAGCGACATCGAAAACAAACCATATAATAGAGTGCTGACAGAGTAAGGAGTCGTGTTTTGAAAACGTAGATGACGAACGAATCTTACCTCGGCGTCACCCCAGCATACTTGTACTAGATACGCGTCGCCCCCCTTGGGGCGACGCGCGCACCGAGAAATCTTGTAGTATATGCGTCGTGGCGGGCGCCTTCTGACCACACCCCTGGGGAAACGATATACTACAAGATGGGTATACTATATGTTCGGGTCGGACGCGTGCCTCCAAGGTGAACACATAGTACTAGTACGTCTCTGGACGTCTCATAATTGACAGCTTACTACATACATATAAGACCTGTTCTCAATTGGCTCTCTCCGGACGTGCCCGCCAGCTCCGGGCGTCCATGGCGTGGCCAGCCCTCGACCGACGCCGCGGGCCCTCGTTTCGTCCTCACCGCGGGGGGAGGTAAGCGTGGTATCTTTGCGTAGGTGGCTTGTGTGTAAGGGTGATATTTAAGACTATCATCATCATCGTCATCAGCATCAGCATCATCAGCATAAGCATCAGCATCATCAGCATCACCATCACCATCACCATCATCATCGTCATCACCATCATCGTCATCATCATCGTCATCACCATCACCATCGTCATCATCATCATCATCATCATCATCATCGTCATCATCATCACAATCAGCATCGTCATCATCATCATCACCAGCATCATCATCATCGTCATCATCATCGTCCTCATCATCATCACAATCAGCATCGTCATCATCATCATCATCATCACCAGCATCATCATCATCATCATCATCATCATCATCATCATCATCATCAGCATCAGCATCAGCATCATCATCATCACACCGGGGGGGGGGCGGGGGCGCCCCGAGGGCAGCGTGCGGCGAGCACCATCTCGGGCGCACGGGGCCCGCGGCCAGGAGGGCAGGATCCGCCAGACTGGTGCAGCCCGCCCGCCAGCTTGCGTGCCAGACAGGTGGAGCCCATGGGATGGGCGCCCTCTCCCCGCCCTCCTGGTGCGGAGGCCCTCCTCCGCCTCCCCCCCGCACGCCCCTCGTCGTCGTCCTCCCCCCCTCCCCCCGCGCGGGGTCCCTCCTCGCTGCCGTTTGCCTCGTCCCTCTGTTCTCCTCCCTGCGGCGTCTCCCCCTCCTCGTCCTCAGCCTCCTCCTCCTCCTCCTCCTCCTCCCCTCCTCCTCTCCTCCTCCTCCTCCTCCTCCTCCTCCTCCTCCTCCTCCTCCTCCTCCTCCTCCTCCTCCTCCCTCCTCCTCCTCCTCCTCCTCCTCCTCCTCCTCCTCCCTCCTCCTCCTCCTCCTCCTCCGCCCTCCTCCTCCTCCTCCCATCCTCCTCCTCCTCCTCCTCCTCCTCCTCCTCCTCTCTCCCCCTGGTCTTCCCTCCTGCTGATCTCCTGATGCTGCCCCTCCCCCGCCTCCCTCCTCTCGGGGAGTCTCCCTTCTCCCTCGGTCCCTGCTCCCTCCGCCTCCTCCGTCCTCCGCTCCTCAGCGCCACCCGGCGGCTCCTTCCCCCCCCCCTTGCCCCTCTCTTCCCTCTTGCGCTCTCCCCCTTTCCCCCATCCCTCCCTCCTTTCCCCTTCCCCTTCCCTCCCCTCCCCCTTCCACTTCCCTCCCCCACCCAAGCCTCGCTCCCCCTTCCCCCCCCCCCCCTTCCCCCCATCACTCCCTCTTGCCTTCCTGCTCTCTCCCCCTTTCCCCCTCCCTCGTGGCGGCCGCAGGATAACGTCAGGGACCTCATCGAGAAGTGCGGCATCGCGCCGCAGGAGGCGAGCGAGGCGTGCGGTCCATGCTTTAGGGCGGGGGGAGAGGTGCTCGCTGAACCCGTTGAAGCGGCGGTTCCGAGGACCCGATAGAGTGCTCGTTGAACCGCGGGCCCCGGGATCCGGTCACGTCCCACACCCAGACCTCCTCGAGTCATGAGAAAATCACGACGGGAGGTTTTTCTATATTTTCGGCCTCTGGGGGTCCTTACCGGCCCTCGGGACCGTCAAAAAACGATTCAGGATGAAAATCCGGTCCCAGCGAACAGGTCCGGACCTCTGGGGGTCGTGTAATGAAAAAAAAAATTGACGTCGGGGATCTGGGCAAGGCGTCCAAGACGGCCCGAAAAACGTGTCCTGGGGGCAGGCAGCACCATTGCCCATAACAGGTCTCCAGGAAGCCTAAACACGAGGGCGTCGGCACAGGCCGCTGTTCGCACGACATATGCGTGGCGCTATTCGAAGAGAAGGCGGATCTGTGGGAGGAGAAAGGGGAGCACAACGCAGTTGGGGAAAGGCTGTGTCGTAGGTGCGCGTTTGAGAATGCGGTAATGCGAGTCAGCGCAGCGATAGCAAATCGCAAGAAGAGTTCGAGGCAGAAGCGGAGCCGTTGACCTGCTGCGCGCCAGAATGCGTGGCTACTCTTGGGGAAGCACGCCGATTTAATCGCAGCCAGGTGGGAGACCATCGGACGAAGAAAGGAGCAAAAGTGGTTTGCGGAGATGCAACAGACGCGGCATATCCGCGAAGGCGGTGGCCGATGCGGAAAAACTGCTTGAGCGAGAATTGGCGCGCGCGGCGTGCAGCGTCGTCAGTAGCGCGGAGGAAATTGAACGCCCACGAAGGGAAGGAAGTACAAGACGCAGACTGCTTGGACCTCGATTTCACGGCGAGCAGTTGGCAAGCGCACGAGTGTTTCGGCACCTGCAAGAGGAATCTCCCGAAATCTGAGTCCGCCGCTGGCCCGAATTTCGCGCGTTCTCACCTGAACGGCACCCTGAAATGCAAGTCGTGCGCGCGATGCCCGGTGCAGCACTTGTGGCAGCGCGCGAATGCTCAGGGCCGCATGGGGGAACAGGAAGACCAGGATGAGGAGCAGGAGGAGGAGGAGGAGGAGGAGGATGAGGAAGAGGGGGAGGAGGAGGAGGAGGAGGAGGAGGAGGAGGAGGAGCAGGAGGAGAGGAGGAGGAAAGAAAAGTCAGGATCTGGTCTTGGAGCCTTAACTCTGGCCTCCGCTGGCCGTTTGGGACGAGCTCGGCACCTTTGGGGCGCATGTTGTCACCATGGATCTGGAGATCGCGCGCGGGCCTCCCCGGGCTCTGAACTATTCCGTGGCTTCCGGTCCATCCCAGCACGGTTTTGGGCAAGCGTCTTAGGGGTGCGTCGCGCGGTCTCTTCGGAACGCCGTCGAGGGACCAGGGGAGGGTAACATCGGAGTCCCGAGGGATGTTTCTCAGGGTCCTCGTATTGTCCGCGGTCTACAGTCTCAGTGCTTTGCATGGGGAAACGGGCGAGAACCCACGTTCACAGACGGCGGGCATCTGTCGAAACACCGGAGGAATGTTGATCGAATGGCTTTCGGCCCATTTTGCCACCGCGCTTGGGTTGTGGGTCTGAAGTCACTCGAATTGTTCATGGGGTCTCGCGTGAGGCCTCTCAGCGGTGTCTTGGACGCAGCTTTTGGGCCTCATGGGGGCCTCCTGGATGGCTCTTGGGGGCCTTTGGGGGGCTGTCTTGGGACTCCTTGGGGGCCTCTTAGACTCTAAGGGGCGTCTTGGGGGCCTTTGGGGGCTGTCTTGGGACTCCTTGGGGGCCTCTTAGACTCTGAGACTTAGAGCCTCTTGGGGGCGTCTTGGGGACTCCCTGGGGGCGCTTTGGGGCCGAAGGCTCGAGGTTTCCGCTCGGGCTCCCCCTGTCGTGCCTTCTCTCGGGGCTGCTCTGCGGCCCTTTTGGGCCGTCTTGGGGTCTTCTAAGGCTCCATCTTGGGGCGTTCCTGGGCCGTCTTGGGGTCTTCTTGGAGGCCTCTTGGGCCTTCTTGGACGTGGCAAAAGTACAAGCGGCGAACCTACTGAACGTCTACGTACACGTTTTCCGGAGGGAGGGAGGCGGTGTTTGCTTTGGGGGGGCCTCTCAGGGGGACTGTACGGGCGTCTTGGTTTGAATTGTGGGCCATCTGGAGGCCATCTTGGTGGTCTTTGAGCGATTGTTCGGCGATTCGTCGCCCTCTTAAACCGCCTTTGAGGCCTTGCGGAGGACCTTGGCCAGACCCCCCCCCCTTCGATGAGTTCGGCCGGGGGTCGTTTGGGGCCCGGGTTGGGGTCAATCGGGTCTCTGAGGGGGGAGACTGAGGGGGGGATTGGTCTCTTGTTGCTGCATGTACAAATGCATGAGACAATTTCTTGCGCGTTCCCCAATATTATGTCTCCTCTCCCCCATCCTCCTCCCTTCCCCTGCTGACTCTCCCTCCTCCCTACTTCTGCCTCTACGCCACGTGCGTCGGCTGGCGAGGTCTGTGACGCCGTCGCCGACGAGAAGGGCAGCATTCCCAAGGACAAGTTCGTCAGCGGCATGATGCGCCTGAGGTCCGATATCGAGGCGCGCCACGCCGCGCGACGGCCCAGTTCGAGGGAAGTCGAGGTACAAGCGCACAAGTCGGCGTGCTTCATCTTCGTCCTCCTTCTCATTATTTCCTTATGTTTCCTCCTCGGCCTCCTCCTCCTCCTCCTCCTCCTCCTCCTCCTCCTCCTCCTCCTCCTCCTCCTCCACCTCCTCTCTGTTCTCCTCCGTAGCCAGTTTGGCTTTGGCCGCGCTCGGGTATCACGTCCTGATCTGCCTGGCCATGCTGTTCCCCCATCCCCGCCTTCACGGAGTTCGTCGTCGGCTCGCAGGTGGTCTGCTGTTCGCCCAGCTTGCCTCCCGTGTCAGGTCACAAGCCAGTTTGGCTCCAGGCGGCTGCTTCGGGGGCTCACGGCCCAAATGCAGAGACGGATGCCGCTGGCCCGCGGCAGCAGCAAACGTTGGCCTTTTTCCTGCCCCTTTTTGTGAGGTCCTGGTTGGGCAGCACGCCCACGCCCTGTGAACAGTCGTCGGTGCAGTACGCCTCGTGAGATCCTGCTCGAGCACGGTGGCAGGCCCAGATGCCAGGGGAGGACAAGCCACCCGGACCCGACAGTTGGCGTTTCCTGAACGGCCTTGGGCGTTTACTGATCAGCCTTGCCCTGCTCGATTCCTTCTGTGGGCGCGTTTGCTCAACGGCCTCGCGTGTCGGTGTGCTTATCATGGGGGTGGATTTTCTGCCCTCCGAGACGACGGCCTGTCGTGCGCAGCATGCAAACCAACGCGCAGCGTCGACTCGGGAGCGGCAGGCTTCATCGCGAACGGACGCTCTCGCCCAGGAGGGGGCGCCGCGGCGGCCGTGGCGGGCACGCTTCCGGAACCGGGTGGGCCGACGGAGGCCTCGGGCTGCAGGCGGCAAGACGCCTGGCGCCGGAGGCCCAGAGGTTGGCACCAACACCAAGATCGGCAGTGTGCCTCCACCGAGGGAAGCTGAGCCCGATGTCTGTGACGGTGGTGATGCCTGGGCTTCCGAGGTGGCCGAAGCATCACCACTAACCACCCAAATCCAGGTCCACCCTCCCCCGGTGACAGCAACCCCCTGCTTTGGTGTCGGTGTCCACTTCCCAGACCCCCGACGTCATGATTTTTTCATGACGTGACCCCCAGAGGTCTTGACCCCCTCCCCGGGACCGGTTTCTCGTCTTGAGCCGTCTCTCACGGCCCCGTGGCCGGGTAAGGGCCGAAAATAGCGAAAAACCTTCCGTCGTGATCTTTTCATGACTCGAGGGGGTCTGGGCTCCAGGCCTCCAGTGGCGGAGACGTCCGTTCTGCCGAGTGGCCCGCCCGGCACAGGGCAGCGCCCGCCGCAGCCTCCCCGGCGCCCCGTGCGGCCCACTCCGCCGGCCGCGCGGCCGGGCGTTGTCCGCGGCGGGGCGGGCCGGCCGAGGGCGGCCTGCCCGAGGCGCCGCGGACCGCTGTCGGAGGCGAGGGGGTGGCGTGAAGTCGGGCCTGTCCCCCTACAGGGGGGATTTTCGACGAGAATAGAAAGAAGATGCGCAAAAAAGATCCCAAAATAGTCCCCAGACTATTTTTGGATGATTTTTTGCTTCTTTTGGGGGTATGTTTTATTGTTCGTCGAAAGGCCCCCTGAAGGGGGACAGGCCCGACTTCAGGGTGGCGGTCAGCCCGGGGGGGGGGGGGGGGCAGAGGTGGCGAGCCTTCTCCAGAAGGCACGGAGTCAGGCGATCGCAAGCCCGGAGTAAGGGGGCGTGGATCAACGGCGGGTCCCGTTTCCGTGGGGAATCGCGGGTTCCCGCCGCCGAGCGAGGCGACACCGGTCGCATTCGTGGGGAGGGCACCTCCCCCGATCCCATGGATGTGGCGACCGCGCGCCAAATCCATGGGTCGCTAGTCCACGTTCGTGCGCCCCCGAAGAAGGCACAGAAGGCCTCCAGCCTTCTTAGAAGTCGCGCCGCCTTCTGAGAACGTGACGAGTATGCCCCAGCTGTTCACACGCTTGCACACCGCGATTTGGCAGTGATCGAGTCTCGTCCCCCTGCAGCACATTGGAAGGGTCAAACGAACTCGAGGGCCGACTTAGAGGCTAAGCTAGCGGTGCTAATGCAACCCCAAGCGTTTGCTGGCGAGCGGGAAGCAGTTAGGAGCGCGATCAAGTGTCTCGAAATTGCGGCTAAGATCGTTGCGGATGTCCTCCCTTTCTTTCCAAGGGTGACCCACGAACGACCACCAGAGCGCGAGCGAGGGAGGCGGCTTTGTCCTAAAGCTGAAGGGTTGCACAATTGGGAGCTTGGGCAGTAGGATTTCATGTGCCAGAACTGATGTGTGTTCTGTGCGGCCCGGAGGGGGACCCCAACTCGAAGGTCATGGAATGCCCAGAATTGTGCAGGAGGTTCTGTGGATGGCAACGGGCCACGCATGGGGACCTAGGCCGTTGTTCCTTTGCATGTCCTGTGAGTATCACGACCAAGAAGGTCTGCATAAGTTGGCCCAGTAGTGTCCGTTTTAGCGTGAGTGTTTGCACCACGGCTTTGAGGACGCTTCCGAGAATCATCCTTCTACCAAAACGAGATGTGGCCACCATGAATACAGCGAGGGAAGTCGCCCTTCAAACGAGCCTCGAGGTCAAGGCATGTGCCGAGGTCTCCGGACCTCGGCAGATTCTTGCTCACGCATTTCCTTAGGAGTGAAACATAAACACAGGCAAAAATATCAGGCGATCGCAAACATGGATTAAGGGTGCGTCGATTAGCGACGGGTCCCGTTTCCATGGGAAATCAAGGATTTCCGCCGCCGACCGAAGCGGCACCAGCCGCATTTTGGGGAGGGCACCTCCCCCAATCCATGGATTTGGCGACCGCGCGCCAGGTCCATGGGTCGCTAATCCATGTTGGCGCGCCCCCGAGAATAGCCGCCGATCCCCAGGAGAATATCGAAAGTGTGGGAAGTGGGGGGGAAGAAGAACATCTAGAATATCTTGCAACGTGTGGTGAGTTCTGAGATGTGTGTCTACACCTTAGGCGATGCTTAAGAAAACCTAAGTTTTCTGCCAGAGTCTCGATTATTCTTAACGTTTCAATGTAAATCTTAAGATTTCAATAGAAATGTTGGGTTTTTATTCCAGTTCTGAGACTATGAATTTCTTAACCCATGATTTCTTAAGCATTTCGCAGGGTGTATGTACTTGTGCCCCTGGCGGGGCCCCTCCAGTTCCGCTGGGCAGGCTGGGCGCGCGCTGCGCGCTCGGATCGCCGAGCGGGAGGCACAGGAAGCTCGAGGGAGCGTGGCAATCATCCTTGGCATCGCTCGGGCGTGCGCATGGTTCCTCCGGCGAGGACCATCGAGGAGCATCAAGGGCGCCCTCGAGGGCGCGAAGTTATTCGCGCTTCGCGGTTCGGCTCCGATTCCTCCTCGTCCTCCTCTTCTCCCCTGGGAGGCGGCGCGAGAGGGCGGAGTTATTCGCACTTCGCGCTTCGCGCAGCGCGAAGCGCGAAGTTGGGAGCCCTGATGGTAGTTATCCTTGGCATCGCTCGGGCGTGTGCATGGTTCCTCCGGCGAGGACCATCGAGGAGCATCCTTGATCATTTGGCGAAACAGCCACGCACGAAACCGAACAAAAAACACAGGGAATGGACGTCCGAGCGTTGGCCAGTATCCGCTTCGGCCACTCGTGACCGAGCTTGATCGACCCACGAACCCGGAAAGGGATTCAGACTTGCGCGGTATGGAAACGTCTCGAAGGACCTCACTTGGGCGAGGAGCAGTGGTAATGCTTAAGATGTCGATGGTGATGGTACTGTGCCAGGGGCTGTGTGTGCTGCGCTGCGCTGTGTCGTGCCGCACAATGACGTCATCGTCCTCGTCCTCATCCTCGAATTTTTCCTCCTCTTCCTCCTCCTGCTCCTGCTCATCCACTGCTTAAACCCGTCGCCTCGCCACAGGCGCGGGTGGGCCCTGCCGGTTTCGGCGTTTTTTTGTTCGGGCCCTCGGTGCCGCGGCCAGGGGCCCCGGGGCCGTCAGAGAACAAGTCAGGACGACGACGATGAGGACGACGACGAGGATTCGGGCCCCCTGTGCTGGCCTACGGCCCAGGGGCCGTCAGAGAACAAGTCAGCACGACGAGGACGACGACGAAGACGACGACGACGAGGACAACGAGGACGTCGAGCACGTGGACGACGAGGACGTCGGCCGCGCTGGGGCAGTCTTGGGGGAAGGCCCCAGAGGTCTTGGGCCCGCTTCCTTCAGGACACGTTTGTTTCATGCCAGCCTCTGTTTCCTCATTATTTGTTTCGTTGGTAGTGGCTCCCTGAGGCGCATCGAGATAGCCGCTCGTTGCCAATCCGAACGTGTGGTAGCAGATTATGAATGAGAGCTTGTGCGATAATTGGTTGCCATGTGCAGCACGCTGAGCGGACGAGCCGACTTATCCCTTGGACAGGCAACGTAGACAAGGGTGTCGATCAAACATGTGGAGAATTCACTCAACCAATAATGCCGGGTCCTGCTTTGGCCCGCCTCTGGTGCATATTGAGCGTTTGATTTCTGAAAGGGGTATTGCTGGCATGCGTGCTTCCATCCTTGCCCCCGTCAACCCTCCTGCTTCCCCCTCTGTCATTCTTCCGTATTGGTCGGCACACAGTCAACATATTGAAATTAGGATTAATTCGGGCCCGTCCTTCTCTACAGGAGGAATATTCAAAAATAGTCAACAAATCGCATGGGGACTGTTTTTGTTCCTACTTGTTTGGGTCATTTGGGAGTGTATTTTTACTAGTTTTTATTTTTCATCCAGAATCCGCCTGTAGGGGGACATGCTCGACCTAAAATCGGGACCACTGAGGGTTCGGGAGGGACCACCGTTTCCGCACTTCCCCTTCTACACGAGGTCGAGGCCTGCGCAGGGCCTCCAAGGGAGCCCCTGGACGCGAGAAGCGACCAACATGATATCACATGAGTTAGCCTATGAAGCCCTGCTAGAAGCGCGCGCTCTGGCCCTAGTATATATATATATATAAATATATATATATATATATATATATTGACACCAGGGCCACTGAGGGCTCGGGAGGGGCTCTGGCTGTTGGGCCGCTCCTCAACTTTGGGTTCGGTTGGCCGACGCTCGCCCTGGCCAGGAGGGGCCGCCGCCGCAGCTCCCCTGTGCTGCGCTGCGCTGGACCGGCACGATGACCGCAATCTCGAGGAGGAGGAGGAGGAGGGGGGAGGAGGAGGAGGAGGGGGGGAGGAGAGGAGGAGGAGGAGGAGAGGGAGGAGGAGGAGGAGGAGGAGGAGGAGGGAGGAGGGAGGAGGAGGGGGAGGGGGGTGGAGGAGGAGGAGGAGGAGGAGGGAGGAGGAGGAGGAGCGAGTAAGGGGGAGGAGGAGGAGGAGGAGGAGGAGGAGGTGCCCGGTAATCTCGAGGAGGAGGAGGAGCAGGATGTGCCCTGTAATCTCGAGGAGGAGGAGGGAGGAGGAGGAGGGAGGAGGAGGAGGGAGGAGGAGGAGGCGCCCGCTGCGCCTGCCAGGTTAACTTGTTCTCTGCTCCGCTCAGTCGGCGGCTCCTGTTCCCGCATGAGAGCGCGTCAAGCTTGCGCTTCACGTCGGGGCAGCGTCAGAAGGAGGCTGCCGAGTAGGAGGAGGACAAGAGGCGGCGATAGAGGGAAGAGGCCGGATCCACGGCGGCGTCGCGGGATCTCCTTGGGCATTGAAGATTGAAGTTCTGGTGCCGTTGACCATGCCAGGCCGTCAGTCGACCATTACCGCCCGTCCCCGTTCTCCCCACCCCTTCCCTCCCTCCACATCTTGTCGCTGTGAACAAATCACGACATATGGTTTTGCCAATTTTCAACCTCGGTGGGGCCTCACTGGACCCCGTAACCGTCAAGAAACGACCCGTGATGAAAAGTTGGTCCAGGGGGATAGGTCTAGAGTTTTCCCAAATCTCCCTTGGTTGGATTCTCGTTTTGAATAAAGCAGTGGGGTCTCCACCTCCTCCTCGCCACCCCCCGCTCTCCTCTCGGCTCTCTCTCGCATATCCCTTGGGGACTGCTAAATGTGAAGCAGTCGCCACTTTCGAGGAGTGCAGTGGGAGCCAGCGCAGTGGGGCCACACGCAGATCCAAACGGGACCTCGCCATCCTTGGGGGGCTGCGAGGTGTGAAACAGTCGCCACTTTCGAGGGCTGCTGTGGGAGCCAGCACAGTGGGGTCACACGCAGACCCAAACGGGACCTCGCCATCCCTATGGGGCTGCGATGAAACCGTCGCCAGGTTCGAGGGCCGCTGGGGGAGCCCGCGCAGGGGGGCCACACTCAGATCCGAACGGGAACTCGCCATCCTTGGGGGGCTGCGAAGTGCGAAATTGTCTCCATTTTCGAGGGCTGCTGGAGAGGCCAGCACAGTGGGGTCCCACGCAGATCCCTGGGGGGGCTACGAAGTTGTACCTCTGTTTTGCGAGTCGGCCACGCACACTTCGCACGATGTAGATGTCCGCCGTGCACCGACTCTTTCAGTGTTGCTGTTGCACTATTGTCGGCACACTTTTTTATATCATTCCTTGGTGCCGATGGGCTGGACAGGCCGCAGGGTAATTTCGATTCCAGGTTGCGAACAGAAGAACGACGTCGCAGGTTTGGGTCCGTTGCGTCGCCCTTCCCTCCAATCTTCCTTCGGTCCCCTCCTTCGAATGCAATTCCTGGGAGGTCAAATGCTGACTTTGCCCTGGTCCGAACTCCGGCTTCATCCCTCACTGCCCCGCTGAATCCCGCTTTGTCCCGCTTAATCCCGCTTACTCCGCGGCTTCATCCGGCGCAACAGCCCCCAGTGGGGTTCAATCTCCTTCATCCTTCCGACGCAGACCTCCCGGCAGATGCCTCTTAAATCTCCCTCCTCGCCTCTCCCGCTCCTGCACTCCGCATCTTCCCTCCCGGCGCCCGTCCATCTCCCTCCGCCCCCCCCCTTGGCTTTCCCTCGTCTCCCACTCAACCTCCTGTGGCGTTGCCAGGGTAAAGATATGCTCAAGATCGAGTGCGAGATCGAGGCGTGCTCGAACAGGCTTCAGGAGGCGATCAAGGACCAGGAGAGTCTGCTCAAGATCCTCGAGGGTGTCGCCGCGAAGAGGGAGACGTAGACGGCGCCATGAAGAGAAAGAGTCCTTAGGGAGAGGGGTCCCGATTTTCTGATTTATTTCGCTGTTTAGGCCTCCGGGGCCTTCCCAGGACCTGAGACTTCAAAACGGCTCGTGACGAAAAGTGTTCCTGCGGAAGTCCAACGAGGCAGGACCCGTCTCCTGCAGGCCCCTTCTGTCATTCCAAGCAGACGACCGTTGCCAGCGTCAGTATCTGTCATTGAGCCTCCTGTCGCCTAGGACACCAGCGGGTTGCGCACTGGTGCCCTCCATCTGCACCTGCTGGCAGACTCCTTGCAGCATGGTCCGCTTGTAGCTCCGCGCAGAGATGCCATCCTCAAGAGGGGGAAGGCCAAGATTTCAAGAAGCAAGGTTCACGCCTCGTGAATCTTGCGGTACCTGTAGCTGTATCGTGGGGGCCTTGCGGCCGATGCCGCCGACCCTGAAGGCGGAACCTGCCCCATAAGCCTCCTGGCCTCCTCCCCCTCCTGCTCCTCCTCCTCCTCCTCATCCTCCCTCCTACTCCTCCTCCCTCCTCCTCCTCCTCCTCCTCCCTCCTCCTCCTCCTCCTCTGCTCCTGCTCCTCCTCCTCTCCTCCTCCTCCTCCTCCTCCTCCTCCTCCTCCTCCTCCTCCCTCCTCCTCCTCCTCCTCCTCCTCCTCCTCCTCCTTCCTCCTCCTCCCATCCTCCTCCCTCCCTCCCTCCCTCCCTCCCTCCCTCCCTCCCTCCCTCCCTCCCTCCCTCCCTCCCCTCCCTCCTCCTCCTCCTCCTCCCCTCCTCCTCCTCCTCCTCCTCCTCCTCCTCCTCCTCCTCCCTCCTCCTCCTCCTCCTCCTCCTCCTCCTCCTCCTCCTCCTCCCTCCTCCTCCTCCTCCTCCTCCTCCTCCTCCTCCTCCTCCTCCTCCTCCTCCTCCTCCTCCTCCTCCTCCTCCTCCTCCTCCTCCTCCTCCTCCTCCTCCTCCTCCTCCTCCTCCTCGTCGGGGGGACCCTCCCACTGCTGTCCTCCCTGTCCACAGGGGGGGACCGGGGAAGGGAGGGGGGCCCGTCTGGGACCTCAGGAGGGGGCGACGGTCATCTGACCCGGGACTCCCCCGCGTACCCCCCCTGCCTTGTTCATTGTCCGTCAGGGAGGAGAAAAGGGAGAGGGAATCGGCAACTACGGCGTTTCCTTTTTTCCTGCTCCTTCCTGTGTTCGTTCCTGAATTTCCTTGGGATTGGCGACGACGAAGACGACGGCAGCATCTCACGCACGCCGAAGGGTGGGCGGATTTTCTCGCAGTGCGTCTTTGAGCATGTTGTGCCACTGCCTGTTTGGGTATGTCGCGGCACGTTGATCCAAACATGTTTTGTGTCGGCGCTAAGCTTTTATTCTGATGTTGGGCGGGGGACCCGATTGCACGCGACCCGTGCATGACCTCATGTGGTTGCGCGATTGACACACTCTGCTGCCCACGACAGGACCAAGCAGGGAGTCGATGCCGTGGCTGATGGTTCCGCTGCGCAAAAAATTGCCGGTCTGCTCGAATCGGGCAAATGCAAGAGGCAAAGTTGCTGTGGCGATCCAAGTTTGATCGAATAAATTGTGCAAGTGGTGAAGTGGAATTGCAATGGCAGTCACGATCGGAGGAGGATGAGGACGAGAAGGAAAAGGGCCAACAGAAGAGCCAGAAGCCTTTTGAATGCCTGTCTGAGTCTCCTCGGATGTCTCTTGGAAGCTTTTTGGATGCCTCTTTGGGCGCCTGGGGGGGGGGGCATCCTGGCGGGCCCAGGGCTGTCTTTGAGCGTCTTGGGTGCCTCGGGGATCCTCCTGAGGCCTCTTGAAGGTCTCTTGGCAGCCTCTTGGAGACCCCTTGAGAGCCTCTTGGGGCCTTCTTGGGGCGCTCATGGGAGCTTTATTGGCGCTCTTGGAGCCATCTTGGAAGACATCGATCAAAACAGAGGGGAGCTTCAATTAGCCTTGCCCTTCTAGAGTGCCTAAAATCGCCTCTTGGGCGCTCATAGGGCGCTCGTGGGGCCGTCTTGGAGGCCTCTTTGACCCCTCTTGAAGTCCTCTGGAGCCATCTTGGGTCCATCCTGAAGCCTCGGGAGGCCATCGGACACGACAAGGCGAGTAAACAAGTAGTCTGGCGAAGGACCCGTCCATCTGCAGTTCTGGGCACCTTCGCCATATGCACCGTATTCGGTGGAGCTCCCTGTGGGGCCACGAAGCGTGTGAGGGGTGTGCCGAAATGGGCGCGGTGGCGCCGGGCGAGCCCAGCTACTGAGGCCTTCGGTGGAGCTCCCTGTGGGGCCACGAGACGTGTGAGGGGTGTGCCGAAACGGTGGGCCTGCGGAGCAGGCAGAGACACGATGTTGGCCTTGATGGTGGCGATGATGTGGATGGTGGCGATGGCTATGGTATTGACGATGACGATGACAATGAACTATGAGGACTTGCGGAAGGCAGAGGCAGGGTTGGAGGAGGGGGAGGGCAGCGGGAGGATGGGAGGAGGAAAGAGGGGGAGGAGGAGTGAGGCAGACGATTCCCGAGGGAGGGGAGAGGAGAAGGAGGTCTCGCCCCACCCCCACAACGGACACCCGAGGGAGGTGCCCGCAGCGGTGAAGGTGGGCCCACACAGTGCCCGCGCCGCTGGCGCGCATCCAGGGCTGGCCTCACGCCCCAGAGGGTGCCTCGAATTCTTTACGCTTCGCGTATCCCCACCAGCCCATCTCACAGCAGCAACTCTCGCGAAGCATGCCGACAGTCGTGTTTTTCAGGCGTGTGTTCGCTTGGCCCCGCATATCTCCCCTGTTCCTCCTTCCTCCCGCCTCCTTGTACATCCTCCTTGTGGGGGGAGCGGGAGAAGGACGAGGCGAAGGAGGAGGGAGAGAAAGCGCTCCTCGTGGTTTGAGTCGTTTGGGGTTTCTCGTCCTGGTCTGAGTCGTTCGGGCCCTTCTGTCTGCTGTGAGTCGTTCGGGCCCCTCCTTGTGGGTGAGTCGTTCGAGCTCCTCGTGGTGTGAGTCGTTCGGGCGCCTCGTCCTGGTGTGAGTCGTTCGGGCCCCTCCTTGTGGTGTGAGTCGTTCGGGCTCTTCGTGGTGTGAGTCGTTCGGGCCCCTCGTCCTGGTGTGAGTCGTTCGGGCTCCTCGTGGGGCCTCTTGGGAGCCTCTTGGAGCCTCTTGGGGCCTCTTGGGGGCCTCTTGGGGCCTCTTGGGGACCTCTTGGGGGCCTCTTGGGGCCTCTTGGGGCCTCTTGGGGGCCTCTTGGGGGCCTCTTGGGGGCCTCTTGGGGCCGCTTGGGAGCCTCTGGGGGGTCTCTTGGAGGCCTCTTGGGAGCCTCCTGGGGGCCTCTTGGGGCCATCTTGGGGCCTCTTGCGACCTCCTCAGAAGCGCAAAGAAGAGCTACCCCCTGAGAAAGACAAAATGAGGCCAAAACCTTAGTAAAATCAATGATTTTGCTAGGAAGGACGATGAGCGCTGCCCCCTCAGAAGTCCAAAATGGGGCCAAAACCCTTGTAAAATCAATGTTTTTGGCTTCACAGAAGAGGAGAGGGACTTATCTCCGTCCCCCCGTCGGGGCCAGAATCCTCGTGAGGGTCGTCGTTTTTTAGCCCTCCCAGGAGTCGAAATTGACCCCCCTGACGACCCGCCGGACCCCCTCTCCAGGCCCACGGGGAGGGGGTAGGGGGAGGGGTAAACCCGTCCCCGAAGGGGAAGAAGGGGGGTTGAGGACAGAGAGAGCTCGCTAAACCACTCACGCCCAAAGGGCTGGTGGGATTCAAAGCACGCGCCCCTGGCAGCATTGGCGCTGGCCCAGGCAGCATCGAGGGCGTACGCCTCGCGTCCGAGCTCCTCCGCCCTAGCGCGCGAACGAAAACCGAAGGCCCACAAGACATCGCTTATGTCGGAGGTTGATGGTCCTCCTACCCTGACACGTCGATTAGCGAATTGGCCGTTTTCGGTTCGCGTGAGGGCGTCGCGGCCGTCATTTTTGCGGGTCTAGGTCCGTCGGTTTCGGTCCTAGGCCGTTTTCGCTAAAGGGTGGTTTACTGAAGGGAGGTTTGTCGTCCACCGCCGATGATGGCTATGCGGGGGTATCCACTGCCCCACCGCATCCGCTGGTCTAGGGCCGCGCGGCGCGCGTCGGGCACTCTCGCTGCCTGCGCCGCGTCGGGCCCAGAGAGCTGCTCCCTCTCCACTGCGCGCGCAGCCCCGCCGATGGCCCAGCCAATTCGCCTACAGTGCCGTTTTGAATACATGCTCCGCGTGCGGATCATGTATGAAACATGCAGGGATTCAGTATTATTAATTGAAAGCAACGATGAGTTCATGCATTAATTTATTCAGAAATTAATCCTGTTTTCTATATGCTTGAAAATCCGATGTATTGAAAACTGCCCGGTATGCGGGCGCGCCGCGCGTGGTGGGGAAGAGCGCCTCTTTGGGCTCCGCTGCGCGTGCGCTGCGCCTGCGGGCTGCGTGTCCTCCCGTGGGCGAGCGCTCTGCCTCGAGACCACGGCCGACTCCTGAGCACGTGGCGTGCCCAAAGCAACGTGTACAAATCAGTCGTCCCCGCGTTGTCGTTTCTGCGCTTTTGGGTTCGTCGTTGCTTCCCCCTCGGCCTCGTCCTCCTCCTCTTCTCCCTCGGTCCCTCGTCGCCTTCCCAATCAAAAAAAAACGTCGCAACCCTGTCGGGCGGGGTGGACGGAGAAAAAAAAAAGTGTACACATCAGAACATGCGAGCTCGCTCCTTGCGGGCCCTGTGCTGGTGGGTGCCATTCGAGCACTGGTGCTGCTAAAGGGGCGTGGCCCTGCACCCGCCACGGTCCTCGAGACGGGCAGCCGGCATCGTCGAGGTCCCCAGGGGGCACAGCAGGCCGGTCATGAGTGTCCCTGCCGTCCCCCTCACAGTCACTCCTCGACCCAGGCCACATCGCTTCCACGACAACCGTGCGCGCGGCCTCGAGCCCCTGATGGTCTCGAAACCCCCGCGGCAGAGAGCACGGCCTCCAGCCTGCCTGTGAAGCGAGTGAGCCGCCGAGCAATTTCTAGCTTCGGGCGGCCCAGCGACGCTCCTCTCTTAGCTAGCTGATCGGCGGCATGGTTGCCGTCCCACTGCCATGCCGTGATGCGGCCCCCGACGACGTCGTCCCACACCGAATGAGCCTTAACCTTACAAAACGCAACATCATCGAGGGCGCCGCCGCCAGCGGCCTGCTGCCACGGGTGCGCGCGAGCCTCGGAAAGGGCCCTGCGCGCAAGCTACTTCTGCCCACAAGACACCGTGCCCTGACAGTCTCGGGCCGGACGAACGGGGGGGATTGGGAAAGGGGGGGGTACGAAATTTGCTGCATGCAGCTGGTCTCGGCCCCGCCGATGGGGTCCGTTCCTCGACACATGGCCGCCTCCCGGCGCCGGGAGGCGCCGGGAGAATCAGCCACGCGAGCTGATTCTCAAACCCCCTCTTTGCTATCCCCCCCGTTCGCCCGGCCCGACGGTCAGCATGCAGCGCAAACCCACCGGCCACGTGCCGAGGCGCCACGGGAGCGGCACCAGCATCCGCCGTCCCGCGCGCTCTGCCCTGGGCAGAGCTCGCGCGGGGCGGCCCCGCGCGGCCTGCCGGGGGGCCTAAGAGTGAGCATCGAGTGCGGCGAGGCCCCGCCCCGCCGACCGAGGCGTCGGCCAGTCGGCTGAAGTCGGGCCTGTCCCTCTACAGGAGGAAAAGTCAAAAATAGTATTAGAAAATAGTCCTGGGGCGATTTTTTGTTTTAATCATGTTTGGATATTTTAGGGTATTTTTTGGGGAGGGTTATTTTCAGTTTTTCGCCCCAACTCGTCGGCCTGTAGATGGACAGGCCCGACTTAACACGTGGCGTCGAAGCACGCTCCAGCTGGAGACACAATGCCCACCCAGCACGAGACCCGTGTTGGCCAAGCTTACGCTCGAAGTTCCGCTCCTGGAGGGAGGAGGGGAGGACGGAGGCAGAGGGAGGGTACGGGCAACAGAGCGCGGGCGAACCTCTCTTTCGGAAACTGGAGCATATACATCACAGTGGCGGGCGGTTTTTCGATCCCAGGACTTTTTTGAGGGTCGGGGACGACGTCGGGGTGGTGTGGTGCAGACTTGGTTCCCCGTTTTCTTGGGGAAACAGCGAAAAATGTATGCACCGGGATCCCGTATACACCATGATCCGCTTTATTCTTTGCAAGTTTCAGAGCAGGCCCGGAACACGCGTCGGTGTATACAGAGTTCGGTTCCTTGCTCTCCCAGCTCCCGACCCCCCCTCCCGCGCGACAACGGCCGCCTCCCAGATCAGCATCGATATTGTCGGTCCTCCAGGCCCGGTGGGCCGGACACTGAAAAAATCAGTGGTGGAGCGTGCTGGCCTCTTCGCGGCAGCACTGGCACACGTCCGGCAGCCCCGGCCGACCCTCCACCTTTGCGAGTCGATCCTGGCACCAGTGCGTCCCAAGAAGCAGGCCTCGCTGTGAACGCTTATGGTGGACTCTCCACCCCTGGCTGGGAGGGGCAGAAAACAATTCGTTGAGCGGCCGCCAGAAGACCGGCCCAATCCATGCCCGTTCTCCTGGCTGCAGGATGCACGCG